GAATCTTGACAATCTTACCTCCAACTCACTTGCATGAGAGCATCCTTGCTGGCCAACGAAAAACAGCAACATAGGATATAACTAGAGGGAGGTGCACATGGTGACAGATTTTATATTTTGAAAATCTGCTACCTTGAAGAATTAACACCTTAGTGATAACTAATTGAAAAAAATGCGTCTCGCTGTCGAATTTCTTTCTTTGGTGTCTCCGTAGTGTGAGTAGGCAACAATGTATCAGTAGGTTTGCTGAAACACTTTGCCTCGAGGATCAGCAACCACCAGCCCACGATTTTCATAATAATTTCTTCAAAATACTTTGTGTTCTTCCGAAAACAGGAAGGAAATGGCCCTCGATTTACAGTCAGAAAGTGGTAAAAATCGAGCACTAATCTTGAGGAAATCCATACTAATGATTGTAAATTCTATTAATCCGTGATGATGTTCTTCTGAAAAAATGAGAAGTCATTTTAAACTTACAATTGGAGAGCAGTAAAATTTGAGAAATAATCTTGACGAAATCCATATAACTGTAATAAACACTCAGCTGTGGACAAGATGAAAAGCTCCTTGAAGAAAACTATAATGTTTTGCACTTCTATCGAGTAGAATTGGTTGAGAAATGAATATACTGGCAGCAACAGATGAATCATCAGATGAGTATGGATACAGCCACAGTCAGAAAAATCATAACTAGTTGAAATTAAGGCAGTTACTGTTGTGTTCAGGAGCAGCTAATTTCACTGAACGGGAACGGATTCGGGGGAGCAGGCACTTCAACAACTCCTTCAAGCATCTGTGTCAACTTTCTCATGGTGGGTCTAAGAGATGGTACCTCTTGAATGCACCAAATTGCAACCTTCATAGCCCTCTCTAGTGTTGATACGTCATTCATGGCCTCCATGTCATCTTCAATCAAAGCGTCAAGCGTTCCATGCCTATAGCAGTCATAAGCCCAATCGGTCAATATAGCTCCAGTTCCACTGATCTCCAGATCTACACTTCTCCGACAACAGATGATCTCTAGCAGCAAGACACCAAAGCTATAGACATCAACCTTCACAGTGACTGGTGTGTTCCTGAACCATTCAGGAGCAACATATCCTTTTGTTCCTCGAATGGCAGTTTTGGTTTGGCTCTGATTAATCGCCAAAAGTTTTGCCAATCCAAAATCTGATATCCGAGCATTGTAGTAGTCATCAATAAGAATGTTCTGCGGCTTTATGTCACAGTGAATGATTTGGGTTGCTACATTCTTCGTGTAGGTACAAGAGTCCTCTTCCAATGCCGAAGGCAATCTGAGTTCTTTGCTTCCAACTAGGCCTTAAGCTTCCAAAAAGAAAATCGGCTAGAGTGCCATTACTCAAGAACTCATACACCAACAAACGATGCTGCCCCTCGTCAAAAAATCCTAACAATCGGACCAAATTCTTGTGATGCGTCTGACCGATCACATTCACTTCGGTTTTGAATTCCTTCTCGCCATGTTCAACCACGCCATCTAACTTCTTCACAGCAATAAAATTAGTAAAACCTGTTTTTATCGCACCCTTGTAAACACCACCAAAAGCTCCTCTCCCCAGTTCATCCTTTAAGCCTTCTGTAGCTTCTGTGAGCTCTTTGTATGTAAATGAACGCAAGTTTGACTCCACATTGTTTTCTTCTCGAACACTTGCTACTTTGTTGCGGTAAATGAAGGAAGAACAGAAACATAGTGTACTGATCAATATAAAGTTGACAAATACAGAGCTAACCAAGAGCACTATTCCTGTGATGACCTTACTGTCCCTTTCTGTCTTCGTTTCAGGAATCTGAAGATATGACCTTTCTTAAATTTGATGAAAGTCTTCCCGTTAAAACCACTGTCAACTTTTCCATTCGAAAGTGGTAACTTCTTCTTCCAGCAGTTGTCGACTAAAAAGTAGGCAACAATGTATCAGTGGGATTGTTGAAACTCTCCCACAACCTGTCAGAGTTTCTGTTTTGAAGCACGAAGTTGCCAGTGTCATTCATAACACCTGACGAAACTGCACCTAGAAGGATACGAGATGTCCATATTAGATTGCCTTGAGGATCAGCAAGCAACAGCCCACGATCATCAGTCAGCTCCACCTTCGATCCCCTTGGTACAGCAGGATCATCTGTAGGATCCTCTCCAATTGCATACCAAACTACGGTCTTCTCAGGAATCTTTTCATACCAAATGGACAACAAGAAATGATCCTTGTTCTCCAGCTGGCGAAACCCGAATGCAAATTCACCAGAAGCAGAAAGCCATGAAGGAGAATCATCAGTTGCAGTGATGGATGCTCCCACAGGTACTCTTCCGTTAGTTTGAGCAACAGCCATGAATGGTAACAGTAACATTACTACTAGGAATATCAAATCAAAACTAGAAGAAGCCATTCCTGGAAATTTTTTAACTCACTGGTACCAAAAAAGTAACATATTTAAGCACACAAATGGTCCGTGACAAGGGAAAAGTCCAGAGTTTTCAGTCGACATAAAAACTCATGCTAAATGAACCTAAATTTATTGACTAGTCAATCAATATCAGCAAGAAAAAAGCTCATTGAAACCTTCCAATACGAAGACTTCTCAATTGCCAACTGCATTTTTCCAATAGTCCTTGTCCTCTGGGGGGCAGATACATTTAAAAGATGTACCGCATCATGGAAGTTACCGCGTCATGGAAGTTCTAATCTATGAAAAAAGGACCAAGAGGCACCATTGTCAACGGATTACCTGTGTAACCTTTCTTTTGCAAAGACTTGGCCAGATGCCATTTTCAAGATGCATTCCCATACCAAACAACTTTGCTACGCTTGTACTTCTTGCACTTTCCTTGCATTAGAAAAAATACCACGACCATGGCCAGCTAAATCTAAATCCAAGCTTTTAGTCATATTTGTCATACCGGCCGATCATGCCAAATTATCAATAAATTCAAATCAATCATTTTTATTAAACTAAATTGTTTTGTTTTAAAAAAAAAATCTTTAAAGTTGACTCAAACAGGTAAATATCTTTCTAGTTTAATTTAAAATCCGATCCAAGTTGAGTTCAAAATGTAAGTTTTCAAGTTAGACTATATTTAACGTCTATGCTTTAATTAGTTGACAACCTATATCAAAACAACAAAAAAAAAAATCTTTTTTCTCCAGTTTTGCCTCAGAATTGTTCTTGTTTTCTTTCCTCAATGCAATCAATAAAAACCCTATTGTTACAGTGTTGTGCACGGGGTGCACACCTAAGGCATGTTGTCCAATACCAGGCCTAATGGTGCTGGCAGTCATGCCAACGATGGGATAAATTAGCAACGCAGATTTATGCGGCTATAAGTTTGTCAAAGGAAAAATCAGCAGCACAGAATGCTGGGCTTGATGATGGAATGTCCAAGCCAGAATGGAAGACTCGTCAGTGGCATAGGCTGGCGAGAACTAGGGCTGTCGAGAAATGCGAGGTAGCGCAGGATGTTGACAAACATGGGCTTGGCGATGGAATGTCCAAGCTAGACAAAAAACTCGTCTAGGACATGGGCTGACGAGAATTGGGGCTGTCAAGGAATTCAGCAGCGCAAGATTTGGCTAGCTTGCACGCAGATGCGAATGCAGCAGTGCAGACATTGGGGCCTGCACGCAAATGCGAATTCGGCAGTAAAGGAATTGGGGCCTGCATGCAGATGCGAATTCGGCAGCGCAGGAATTGGGGCCTGCACGCAGAAGCGAATTTGGCAATGCAAGATTGGGGCTTGCACGCAGTTATGAATTCGGCAGCGCAGGATTTGGAGCCTGCACGCAGAAGCGAATTGGGCAGTGCAAGATTGGGCAGTCTGCACGTAGATGTGCATTCGGCAGCGCAGACATGGGGGTCTGCACGCAGATGTGGATTTGGCATCGCAAGATTTGGCGACTCTACCCAGGGTGCGCACTCGGCAGCGCACAAGAGCTTGCGCAAGTCAGGGGCTTGACTTGGCAAGATCTAAAACTTGGACGAAAGACTGTCCAAGGCATGTGGGTGATTTAGCAGCAGATGAAGCTAGAGCTGGCAAATGGGGCTGCCAGGCAAGCATGCAGAAAGTGAGAGCATAACTGGGTGTTTCCAAGTTGCTGAAATCATGAAGCACATGAGGGAGGAAGTTCTCCACTATATCCTGGAAATAGGGATATGGGTGAGCCACAAATGATCATGGAGATCATGGGGGCGTAAGTGCCCTATTGTGTCCTAAAATATGGGGATCATGGGGGTGCCCTGCATCTCACATACTTGGCTATAAATGGTGATGGTAATTCTTTGTTGTATAGGGAGAATACATAGAGAATAGAATGCATAGAGAGGAAATAACGTATGTAAACTTGTTGGTGTAGCATGCGAATTCTGTGCATAGCACACGTTGTGTAATCCTTTGTTGATGAGATAAATAAAGGTTGAGAGGTTATCTTGTATTCTCAGTGTGCTTGGTTAAGAGCAATTCTACTTGTGTATTCCGCTTGTCTTTAACATGGGAAAGTGGGAAAACCTCTCGGGTGAGGGAAACACTTAGTTAATAGGCAAACACGAATGGATAGACGAGGGAAGGCTGAGTCTAGCGAGGGACTAGGCTGCCGCACGGGTTTATTCACGTAGCGAAAAATTACCCCGTGACACCTACCATGATATTATCAGGATCCGCAACTTCTAATTCGTTATTTGAACTTCGAAAAAAGACCTCATGTGTAAGGCTACAAAGTTTTATGGCCAAACTCTAAACACCAAGTTGGCAAGTGGTGCAGTCAAGCGTGAAAATAAAAGGATGGTGTAGGTTTTCTACCATGAGAAAAGCAAATAGAAGCATTGACTATTACCCTAAGACTGAGTAAATTCTTCAAGTATGCATGTGGGACAGATTCTTTCTCCCAGGAGTAGTGAAAGTGCTGTAACTAGTAGATACGGTAGAATCCCGCAGCAGTATATACTGTATCTATGCTGAGCGTATATTCCAGACAGTAAATAGCAACTGTAACTTCAAACCACAACACAAACAGTAACCATTCTGCAAGGGAGAAAATATCCCAATGATTTGAACTAAGCATTCCAACTACAAGGTTATCGTTTCAGTTTCCAGCAATACATAACAGGAATTATACTGCACTGAGACGAGGAAGAAAAATTTGTGAGGTTTTAAATGTATTGAAGAGTAATTATTTCATGTGTAGCGTTGCACTCCTCTGCATTAGCTTGGTCCATGCCTACAAAAACAAGTTACAAATTGTTCATTACTGAACACAGTCATTATGGAGAGTGGCAAACATGCACAAGCGCGCATGTGAAGAACCACATGTAAGGGAGAAGTACCTATAGGCTATAATTGCCGTTTGACTGATGCACTAAATCCTTCTTTGGCCTTGCTCTTTTTCTCTTTAGCTTTTCGTCGTGCCTTCACAATCAAAGCTACTGTTTTCCACCTCTGGCTTAGAAGGGGGAAAACTAAAAAGCATGTGCCCGTTCAAACTCGCTGTCACGCATCAGCATACATAGGCACGCAAACAGAACATTTTGGAGACTGAACAAATAATTATGCTAAGAAACAATTAGAAAGCCACGGAATATGGTCATTCCAGAATTCAGCTTGTATTTACTTAGTGCCTTGACTAAGAAGGGAAACTGTTTCTCCAAATAATTGGAGAAATCAAATTATGCTAAGAAACATTTTGGAGACTGAACAAATAATGTTGCTGTTTTTCACATGCCCCTTGATTCTTTACTAAAATTTCTTTCAATTTATTGACAATTGGATTGCAACTTGGAAATTATACGTCACTTGGAAACAAAGTGCAACAATATCTGGATAAACGTGGAAATGGAAGAAAATAATGACCTCAAATTTAACTATTAATGGAATTAGGAAATTACTGATATATATAGGAATTACACCACAAATGAACGGGCAATAATTCATAGTTATCATTAATATCCCATATCTAGAAACACAAACATATTTAATATGGATGGGAACAAAAACAGTAAAATCAAACAGTCCACCCTCTTAGACACTAGCATATTTTTAAGATGCAAGATGACAACCGTGCTATGTTTGGTTCAGTTTCATTAAACAAGAATGTATCAAGAATTAGAGAGAGGGAGAGAGGGAGAGATTCAGCATACCCTCACAAGGCTGTAAAGGTCCTCTTTAAGAGGAGGTGAGAACTCTAATAGCCTTATTATTATTTGAAAGGTTAACAAGTGCAGCTCCTTTTCATAAGCCTTGTTCCCGTAGAATTTAAAGCACGCATCCCTACACTTCCCATCACACGGGGTGACGTTAGAAAACCAAATAAGAACGTGAGGGATGATAGCTGATGTGGATATTTCATCAAGTTGCATCAGCTGAAAAATTAAAATTAAATAGGACAAAAAAAGAATATGCAGTAGCAACCAGAAAATGCAACATCAATATAAATATAACTATCAGAGGAAAGATAATCAATCTTGGGAATAGAGTACATTATAACCAACTACAAATTGTCAATCTACCAGAAAAAAGCTGCTAATATAATCTTACACAAAGTTCCTGTAAATGAAGTTCACCTTGTGTCTTTCTAAATTTACTGAAAAGCAGATACTAACAAAAAAATGAAGGAATTACAGATCCATAAGCTTTAAAGAAAAGGAAACCCTGAAAGAAAGACTAAGAACTTTGTAGAGATCCAATTGTGATACCTATCCAGCAGTAAAACTAAAAGGGGGAAAACTGCAAAAATGCAGAAAGAGAACGAAATTCTCTTCCTTTTAAAGATCTCTATACAAAGACTGTTAAGGCTACTTGTTCTGAGTAGGGTTTGAAAAACTTGGTGGAGCCTTCCTGAGACTTGTCTCCGCAGCTTTCTGAGGGTCTTTATTGGCTCCAGTTGACTTGTTAACATTTGCTGAAAGAGAAGCAAAAGAAACTAGCAATCTCCTTCCTTGATTTCTGTCTAATAATTGGACCTTTCTCTCATGGTGAAGACACAGAAGAGAGGACATGAGAACATGAATAACAATCAAGGAAAATAGAATGAGAAAAGCTCTGTGAATATTTGCCATTATGTAGTGCTGTATAGACAATGAGATTGCTGGTTTTTTTGGAGCTAAGGAAACGGTGGTGTCTATGATGTCTTCTCAAGGAGGCATTGCATACTGTTACAAATTGTTTGTGCTCAACTCTGGCTAGGTGTAATATATATACAAAAAGAAAACCTAGGCCAGTTTGGTGGTTAAACCCCAATGTCTTAACCAGGTAGAAGATGTTCTCTTTCCCATTGGAACTACAGAAACAAGAAGCTAATGGACAGACCATTCAGAATAACCAGACTATGTTTCAGCTTTCACGGTTAAAAGGGGTAGATCTAGACCATTTCCCAACAGGGTAAGCAATAATTGGACAAAAGATTTCCTAAAATCATATATAAATGAAATATCTGTACATGGGAAAAAAATTTCAGTTGGAGGACTATAAAGATGACAGAGCAGCTCATTGATTTACGTCAGCAGAAGGCAAGACAGGATCAATTATAATGCATGTTAGAATCTTGTAGAAGCATAATTTGACTGGCCACTATCCCAGTAACATTTCCATATGAACTCTATTTTTGGTGATTTGCTTCTTTATTTTTATCAGAAGTTTAATGATAGAACTTTTGTTCTTGAATAAGTTGGAACTTGGAAGCAGCTGACCATGTGATTCTGAATTGAATATTATACTTCTGACTTCTGTGCAGTCCTTCAAATATTTAACTTAAAACCTCATGTGACTTATCACATGAGACCAAATCAGCCCCTCTTCTTCTGTCCTTTTTTATTAAATCACTCAATAGTTTTGTACTTCTGTTAAGAGTAACAGATACAGCTAGACTTAGCTGGGAAAGGCTAATTTCCACAGCAAAAAGCAATCATCTTCTTCCAAGAAAATGCAATGCTCCTCTTTTACCATTCAGAACATAGACTAATGTCAATTGGATTCCATCTTATTCTTCTCCAAACAGATCCTAATGCAGCATTCATATGAACCTCAAGTTGGTGTAGTTAGAGCTGAGCCTTCAGGATTGCTTTTGCTTGTCTAATATAGTTAATATTTCTCCCCAACCAAATTTGGCCAGCTTGACAGCCGTGCCCAATTTTTTTTATTTGTATATGTGTTTTTATTTCATAATTCACCTCATGGACAGTGGTTTTTGGAGATTCCAAGGTGGATTGAATAATAGAGTCCAGATTTTAAAACCTGAGAACATGCTAAAAAGGTATCCGCCTGCCCAAACCTGAGCAGCAATCTTTGAAGCATTATTATAAGGATAATCCTCTAAATTTAGTAAATTCTCTTCCATTTAGCCATGTGATGGTGTATCACTCCTCCGTCACTTTACATTATTCAGCAGATGGTGGAAGTTTTTTTATGTTTATAAATTGCAATATCATCTCCTAGGGTAGAAGAAATATGATCTGGAGGTTTAAGAACTTTACATGAAGAATTTGGGAGATCTAGTCAGGGAACTTTGAGAGAGGTATTTAGAATATAGTTTTTGTGAAGTCACTTGGTGGTTTCCTGGGCTGGGAATCCTGAGTACAAGTGAACAGTAATTCTACAAGCAAGGGAAAATGTAATTATTCCAACGGGAAAAAAATAGAGACATACTCATTTCCAACTCCTTGAATGAAAGATATTGCTGCCATTATCATATGCATTCTGATCTCATATAATACTGGAAAATATGGCTTTAGAATTACCTAGAACATGCATTGTTTGTGCATAAAATCAATGTACCAACAAGATCTCACTGATTAAAGATGCTGATCCTGGATCTAACAGCATCAAAGTTGCTTCTAGATTACTCTCCCAACATCATCACAACAGGACCCCAGGATTCTCAAATGCCTTGTACCTATATTGCCTACAATCACACTGACAATCTCAAAACATAATAAAAAATAACCATCGATGATCCTAATTTCCCTATTCCCCAAATTCCTGAAAATAATTCACCTAGTCTACAGCTTTTAACGCATTTTGAAAAGAAAAAAAAACAATACAATATCCTCAGGTATTGCATGATCTAAACTACTGTGTCTCTTTTCTAGTATAGACATAATACATAACTTTAGATAGCTAAATGGATTTACCTTTCACATACACAAAATTCCATTGATTCATTTCAATGAATCATCAATCATACACAAAAAGGTTTACATAATTTATCTTTCGGGCATATAATAGCCACATGTCATTTAGTTTTCTCATTACATAACTATTGACGCATTATCAGTCCACATGCCTTTCAGGTTTCCCATTATCTAGCAAAATTGACTTACTTTCCTTCCAAATAAGATTTTTAAAACCAAATACTCTTCCAAAACAATAAGATTTTTAAAACCAAATACTCTTCCAAAACAAGATATCAACTGCTCATGAATTACTTTATCAGAAGGAAGCACTGTCATGACCCAAATTCCGGATCCATGACCGCCACATAGACAAGGTTCCTTTCCAAGGTTCCATACCTATGCGAACCCAAACTTACACACAAATTTGCCCTAACTCAATCAGAGTTCAACGCAGCATTAATAACAAAATCAACTTCATAATATAATTGAAATGTCTTAATACAAGAGTTAATATAATTTCATAGTTTTGGAGCACTAATTAGACATAAAGAAAAATGTACGGATTACAACAAAAGGAGCAAGTTCTGAAGGTCCAACAAAAGTGACCTGCTATCAAGTTATAAGCCTGAAAATGATAAAAAAATAAGAGTGTGAGTTCAATAACTCAGTGAGTAGATAACGTTCAATATACACACACGAGATAATACAATAATGAGAAATATATATACAAGTATGGATTTAGGTTCTTATAAAAAGGTTTCTCAAATAGGCCATAACAAGAATATCATATGGTAAAATTCGTCAGAAAATCAAAATGTAATGAGCATGAGGCTCCGTACTGTGGGATGATCAGTCCACACAGGTTGGTGACTCCCTCGACCAACTAGGGTTTAGATATGATGTGCACAAAAACTAACACTATCCTGTTTGCATGGGTATTCTGACTGACATACCATATAGTCATAATCATAATCAAACAGACATATTAATATCTCAAGGCTCAACTCATGACATCAATCAAATGAGAAGCTATCAATTCAGAAGTCAATCCAAAATGCATATTTGTTCATATCAAGAATTCAGATTCAACAAATGATCATGCTTATTATAACAAGGATAATAGTCACCATATATATTATCAAGAAGCATGATCCAATTCATATTAATAAATCAAATATTTATAATATTTCTCATGCATATGGAAAATTATCCACTCACCTGACTCGAAAGCAAACAAAAATAAAAAACAGACACCGAAAAAAATCCTACTGACGTCCTGCCAGTAGAATATCAGGATTATCTGAATACAAAGGAGACATATTCAAGAATGACTCAAAAGAATATATAACCTATTTAATACACTTATTTAAGGATGTATTCCATA